TTTTTTCAATCATTCCCTTCATTTAATTTTTGACAAAAAATTGAATATTTTCTGTGGTCAAGATATTATTTTATTTATAACTGAATTTTTACAAAGATTTGTTTTTAATTTTGTTTTTTTTTTTTGTTTTATTTTGTTTTTGAGTCCATTATTTAAATTCCCTTTCATTTTTATAATTATATGAAAAGCAATTTTGTGTGTGTGTGTGTGTTTTTTTTTTTTTTTTTTTATTATAAATTTTAAATCATTATCTACTGTTTTTTTTTTCCCTTTGAATAAAAAAAAATTGAATAGATTCAATATAAAGCAAAAAAAAAACTAGTGGAAAGTTCTTTAAATTAACATTTTGTATTGAAAGAATGGGTCGTTTTTGTTTTATTTGAACTAATTGAATATTTTAGAATGAAAACGTATCTTTTGACTTTTATTTGGGCATTTTAGCCAAATTTTAGTTGAAAAAAACTTAAAATTTCATGTTCCCTTTAAAAAAAAAAAACCAACATATTTTAATATAAATTAAAATTTGATTAGAAATGAAGTAAAATGTGTCTTTTATAATTAAGAAAAAGTTGGTTACAAACTAAACTTGAATTTAATAATGTTATGATTTCACATAATGAAGCCAACAGGAGGAAGAACAAATTTTCAGTGAAAAAAAAACATGAATTTGATAGAATTTGACACTTTTTAATGTCAAATAGGAATGAAAATATATGTAAAAAAATTTTTCAAAATGATTCATTGATTACTGCAGCTGATTTAAGACATTGAGGTTCGTTTTTAAACTATTATTATAAGAAAATTAAAAACCAGTTGGAATTTCACTGACAAAGTCATTGGGTAAAAATTTATAAAATGGTAAAATGGCAATATTTTATGAATAACAAATTTTCTTGAATAGCTTAATTTTATATTCATTTAGATTTTTGGACATTATTCAAATTACATCTGTATAATTATAGAGATCATCTTGTTTTTCAACTGATTTTATAATTTTTTATTTGACATTAATAAACGTTTTACTAATCAATATTTTAGAAATATTTAATTGTTTTAAATGTCCAGTTCTGAAAAAGAATTTTTAATTTTTTTTTTTTTTTGTTGAATCTTTTCGTTGAAAGTAAATTAAATAGTTACAGACAATGGTTTAAAAAATAATTTTTTTTTTTTTGTCCGGCAAATTGATGGATAAATTGCTTTTTTAATTAAAAAAAAAATGAAGATAACACACACATGTATATATATATATATATATATATATATATATATATATATATATAATATTATTGTCTTCCAAAATCTATTTTTTTAAAATATTTGAAATTAAATAATTTTTGTGTATTTGGACAACCAGGCAATTCATATCCAAGGATTTTGTAAATTACCCTTTATTTTAATGTCTTTCAGACTGGTCAATTCACGTGTGGAACTTGCTGAAAAGACAGCAAAAGTTGCTCAACTCGAGGAGACTCTATACCAACAGCAAAAAATAAATTAAATTTCAGTAGAAGAACTCAAATCTTTTGGGTCCTGTCATTTGATCTTGTTTTTTTTATTTTTTTTTTTATTGTGTTATTTTATAATCTTCCATACAACATGGAATAGTAATAAAATAAAATTCAGTTGTTAACAAAAATCTGCAATATCATCTGCTTATATTTTTTCAAAAAAAATTTAAAATTTAAGATGAGTTTATAATTTTCCATTCAATTTTGTGATTTTCTTAAGCAGTTTAACAACAGGCTGGTTAATTTAATTTTGTCCAGTGACGGGACAAAGTGTTAAAACTTAGATAACTTACAACTTTAACTTTTAAAATTAAAAATGTTTTTTTACCCATTGAGCAAATATATGGGTTCATTCATTTCTTATGGCCTGAATAAGATAACAGCCTAAATATTTCAAAAATTATGGCAAAAAAGATGAGGATCTTAGTCCAATCTGTAAAACTTAATATTCTTTAACCCATTTATTTAATCTAAATTATATAAAATTCTTAAAATACTAAAGAGTAAATTTTTTTCAATAAAATTTATTTGGTTTCAACCATTTGTTTCCAGACAAAAGATAAGAATCTCCTGCAATGCAAAGAGTTCTTGATAGCTTCTTTAAAAGGTTGGTCTGTAATCATCATAGACTTCATTTCAAAATTTTTAGTAATTTTAATAAGTTTTGTTGGTCCTAAAAAGTTTGCTTAGTATTGAATTGTCAAGAGGGTTTTTGCAAAACAGGCTGTTCAAAACTAGGTTGTTATATCTGAGGATAGAATTAAATTAATAGATAAAATTGTCTGACTGCATGATTTTTTTTTCTGCTGTTAGGCATTTATTGCAGTGTCCAGTTGGTGACACATTTTTCCAGCAAGCCACCCTCTTGACCCAGGGTGATGAATTTAGTCATAACAAGTTTCACAGGACTTTAATGTTTTTGTTCTCCATACTGAGGCCTATTGTTTGAAATACATTTTTTAATACAATAACATTAATCTTCATTTTTATAATGCTTTGTTCCTTTTTACACTTTTTAAAAGTGTATTGGATAATTTTTTTAAATATCATGGCTATCCACAAAAAAAAACACATTTTGTCCTATTACCAAGTATTTCACTTTGATTATATAAAAAAAGAATGCAATTTATTTATTTTTCCTAGTTAAACAAAATGTTTGTCAATATAATGCATTTATCATCTTTTATTATATTCTTCATTCAGTTTTTTTTTAAATACATAGCTCACTTAATCTTTCATTTTCATTTGAATTAAAATTTTTAGTTGTAACGATCTCTTCCCATTCAATTTTATGATGAGCTTCTTATTTTCATATCATTTAATTTATTTTATTTAATATTTTTTAAATTTAATAAATTTTTTTTTATTTTTTATTTTTTTAAATTTATAATTTTTTAAATTTTAAATTAAATTTTTTTTAAATTTATTTTATTTTAATTTTTCAAATTTATTTATTTTTTTTTAAATTTAAAATTTATTTTTTTAAATTTATTTTATTTATTTAAATTTATTTTATTTTATTTATAACTTTATTTTCAAAGATATTTAAATTTAGTATTTGCATTTTTTATTTAAAGAATAAATGTTATAAGAATAATATTTAACTATTGAGTTTTAAAAAGTTAAAACTAAACCAAGGTTTTATGTTCAGGATTTTTTGTATAAAAGAGTTTCTTTGATGATATTCTATTCAGTGGCACTTTGATATTTCAAGCAATCTTCTTCCTAAAGAAAGTGTTAAACCTATTTCTATTATAGGATTGAAATAATAGTTATGATTTATAGATATAATTATCAAATTTTGTATCAAAAGGCTTTTAAAAACAATTCTATAGTTTCAATCTGCAAACTTGAATGATAACAAAAGAATCAATGTTTTTGTTGAAGAGCCATGTCACTCGTACACTGCCAATAAAACTAGTGATGATGGCCATTCTTTGTGAATTCATTGCTCACTATTTACTGCTTTGATGGTCTTGTGGAGGTTTTGAAAGTTATATATAAATTACATTAATATTTTGGTGTAAATATTTTAGAAATACATGAACATTCCAATCAAATAAAGAGCTGAGGTTTTCAGCTGATATAAATTTCAATTGCATTGATGTAAGCATATGTTATATATACAATGACATTCATAGCAGTTATTGAATTTTGTACCATTAACTACAACTTTATATAAATTATTTGCTATATGTTTATATAGCAAATAATTTGTGTTCCTCAAGAAAATTGTATGCATTATGGATACTAAAAATATAGATTCAGTAACTTTTTATAGATTCTTACAAAAAAGTACATTTTTACATTTGTGATATCTAAGTGATATCACAAATGTAAAAATGTACTTTTTTGTAAGAATCTATAAAAAGTTACTGAATCTATGTTTGATGATTCCAATTATATTGCTCAAGAGTCTTTCTAATGTAGAATAATTAATTTTTCTTGCAGACTATTTTAAAAGTGGTCTTGTTAACTTTAGATATTTGTTATTGAAGTATTTTATTTTACTATTTATTGATAAAATCTGAAGCCTTTTGAATATTAGTAATTTATGAAATTTTGTTAAATTCCATGCCTAGTTAAGTTTTATAGTTGTAATTCAACTAAAGATATAAAAATGTATTTGAGGAATTTTTAGTTGGTAGACATTATTTCTAGACCCATTCAACAGAATAGCTTAACTTGGTAGCAAATAAACATACATAAGAAAATGAAAATTTATTACATGCACAATCTGTTTCCAGTAGAAATATCATTCAGAATATATTATTGAAATATCTTGAACAGAACAGACTCAGTCAGGTTGTTAGCATATTTGGGCTGCTATTCAATATTGGTATATTGAATACATCAATACATCAACCAATTCTGGACTAATAAAGTATTAGTCTTGTAACAGTGTAAGAGATTAGTTATCAATTTTATAATCAAAATATTATTTTAATCCATAGTAAAACTTGCTTTATCTCTTGTATTGATCTGGTGTTGTAAATGTCCAGCCAGACAGTTTGATATCGGTCTTTAGTCTGTATAAGTCAGATATGTTCAGTTCCTCTTTTTTTTTCTTTTCTTTTTTTAAACATACCATCACAATTCCTTGGCTCTCCGTAACATGTTTATCTCGTCTTTCCTCTTTGATCACTATATAACACTAATCTAGAAATTGTTCCAGCAAAAATTTTATCCAATATAATGAATCCTCTCTCCACTTTTTCTTTAGTCACAGATCTGTGTCCCTTTCATGTACTTTTGAAGAACTCATGTAAGCTATGAGTTTGCACATTACTCTATATACACAATTTAGCTTATAATACTGAAAATTGCATATTTATTTTGTATAGATCATCAAAAATATGATGGTTTATGTAAAATTAATGAAAAGAAAAAATGTTTATATATTTTATTAACAGACTCTTAAAGTCAAGTGGTAAACTTTATAACAACATTTGAATAACAGTTTAAGAAACCTTGAGCAAGTAGTTTTCTTAGAATGATGATGATAATTCTCCCTCCTTTCCATTCTTCCTTCTGTTCTTTCTCTTCTATCATTATTTCTGTGTCTGCATGACTTCCAACCTTCCTATGTATGGTGCATGGAGAGGACTACACACTCCTGACTGTAGACTTTTCTTGTTTAGCAATCTGGCTTGCTGGACCTTCAACATCTGTTCGAAGCTGATGAGTCGTCGAACGAATTATAACATTACTAACCATTGGATAGTAGATGAGGAGAGGTAAGGGACAGACCAATGGAAAATCTTGTTGGAATTTTATTTTATTTTTTATTTTCTTCTTGCTTTTCATTCCTTGGCCTTTTCCCAATAAAGCTTCTGCTGCTGGCTATACTCACTAAAATAATAGAATAAAATTTGTTGGTTAACAATACAACTAAAATATCTAATTTTTTTAAAAATTATATCAGATTTATTCTAATAAATTTAAAATTTTCATTTTTACAAAATCTTTCATTTTTTAGTTAACAACTAAAAAATGAAAGATTTTGTAAATCTAAAAGTAAAGGTCATAACATGATTATGACTTTAGATTGTCTAAAAGTGTAACTAGAATGATTTAGTGTAAGTAGAAATTCTTTTGTAACGGAAGATTAAACAGTTAGCCGATTCCTGAAAACAGTCATGGAAAAACGGTTTTTCTCCATTTTCTGATGGTCCCTTAAGACTGAAGAAAGAACTTACTTATCCTTCAAATTTGATATTTTTCCACCTATCCACTAAACTAAATTTCTTCACAAATTCAATTAAAACTTTACATGGAGGATTTTGTTATAACTTCACTTAGTTTGTGTATTTCATATTTTTGTCTTTCAATGTTTTTGCTGTAAATGTTAACTGAAAGGATGAGTATTTTTTAATCTATTTGGAAAAAGGATATAAAATGAGGTCAGTGCTTGATTCTTCAAATTTGTTCGATCTGGCTTTGTGCTATATCAACTTCTATTACAAAAATTTCAGTACATCTAATTTATAATGGTGTTAATATCTATTTTCCAAATAAATTATCAGTTACTGTAGATTAAAACAGTTTAAATATTAATGTTATTTCATGTTGAAGTCTAAACTGATTTTTTAAGGGAAAGCTGCAGCAAAACCTTATACTTAGTTCTCTCTCAAAAATGGCATGGCATATCGTGGGTTAAAGAGTTGATTTGTTCTAATTTCTCTGTTATTAGAAGAGGGAATTTTTTTGAATGGTAAGCAAGCCACTGGATAGCTGTTTTCATGTCTGGCATGTCTATTGGCTCTATCTCATTCTTTCATCTCTCTTCAATAAATGGCTTTTACTTAGTAACTGCAAACAGACACAAGTACTGTCACATATATTAGAATGTTGCAGTTTAAAGTTTTATTATATATTGTACAGAGTATTTGCTCAACAATTTGATAATTTTTGTTAAGCTTTTGAATTTTCTCATTTTTTTCTTAATACTGACTAATTGTAGCACTGTCAATATAAAGAACTTCACTACAGTTAATCAGAAAACATTAACTGTGTTATTAGTATAAACAAATGGTAAATGAGGATGATGGTAAAAATGAACTCTAGTTATTATGTGATAGCCTGTTTTACAAATATTTGACCAGGCTTAATAATTTTCAGTATTTTTATATATATATATATATATATATATATATATATATATATATGGAATGATTTTTTTATGAAATTTTGAAAAGACAAATTAATAAATGTTTTAATTGAAGATTGCTGGCTGAAGATTTGTTAAATATTTTCACTGAGATGAAACAAACTGGTGAATTTATGTCCCATGATTATAAACAAATGTTTTATTTGCTCTTGTAAGCATTTATTCACTGAAAGTTTAATTATAGAAGAATAAAATGATTTACATCAAGTTTCTTGATATTTTTTCTGGTCTTATGGTTTATGCTTATCTTTTTTGGTTTTTAAATGAAAGTGACTATTGTTTTTAAGTATTTTCACATTTATTTTGAGTTCTTATGTTCAAACTTTCAGTTTCAATAGTAATTATCTTCTCTTTTTTGGAAGATGTTAAATGATTGTTTCAAGAATATTCATATGAAGTAGGAATTGCTACAAATTCTTACTTTACCTTCAAAGCCAGCAAATTAATTTAAATTCTTTATTTTAGCAAAAGAAGACTTGCAAGTTGATTATTATTTATATAATCTGTTATGAATGTCATGTACATCAACACAAACTGATAGACAAAGTGAAAATAACTACTTTTAGAAACGTAATCACTTGCCTTCACTCTTTCATGCCATCAGTAGCAAATCCTTGAAACTATTTGGCTGCATTAAAAGATCTAATGTAGGGCTTGATGAAATGCCTCTTGAGGGCTTTGGTGCCTGGGGAAGAAGTAGAGAAACGCCATGGAGATGGAGGGATACCATAATACTATGGTCACAATGAGTGGCAGACACTTAATAAGATTGCTCAAGAAAATGGCAAGAAATCAGTTATGTTAGTTTGAAATCTGCTACAGGTGGAAATAGCAACTAATGATGAATAAATGATATGAATATATAAATAATAATAATATTTTAATAAACAAACTGCTGCTATGATTCACTAGTAGAACTTTTAATTCACAAAATTTCTAATTTTATATCCCATTTAAGTTTAATTACTGTTACTTGTTTTATATATATATATATATATATATATATATATAAACTAAGGTTTCATAAAAGCAGGTATACATAACAGCAGATGGTCTATAAACATTTTGAAGAAACGTTAAACCTTATTGGAAAGTTATTTGTTCAAGACATATTGTATAATCACCTGAGAATTTGGAATATTTTTAACAATTTACCATTGGAAAATTCATATCTGTAACTGATATTTTTTAAGCTTAATTATTTCTGTTTTATATGCATGTAGAACTGTTTATTATAGGTGGATTTTTATTGACTGGGGAGAAGATAGTAACTAGAAAAATGTGTTGTATCTTGATAGTTACTATTTCCAATAAATAATTTTAGTGTAAATATAGCAGCAGAAATAGTATTATAGGCTTTCAAAAATGTATCTTGTTCATGATATATGCTACAAATTTACTACCATTTATTTATTACTAATCTTGCTGACATTACTACTTGTATAATCTCTATTATAACTGTTATAATGACAATACTTGTGCATTTTGTCTGCTGCTTTTCACATAGGTTGTATCTTTATTTTTATTTCATTTTGTTATTATGATTTATTGTTGTTCTATCTGCACTCACTGATAATGTACATTTAATATGGCTTGTATTTCACCTTTGCACCTGTAAGGCATGCTATTAATTTAAGGTAATAGCTAAGTATTTTACTACTAATTGCAGTCAAACAGGGCAGCATTTATCAAAGTATGGTTAATGTGATTTTAATCCATACATTTTCTGTTTCACTTTTTTCTTATTACATACAATTCAATAGAATAAAAATTTGCTACAAGTGTTTAAAATGAAATAAAACTGGTAGTAGCTGATGTTTTTGATTTTCAAAGCCCATAAAATTCAATTGAGCTTTCTGTAAAGAAATATAAAACTATCATTAAATAAATATGATGCTCTCTTTTAATAAATTACAACAGCAGAGGGCGTACTTCTTTAAATCGACCATTTTACTCAAAATTTATTGATAATAGTATTTGAAAACATTTATGAAGCATATAAAATTAGCATTAAATTTTTTATGGAAATTATCTATATAATATTTATTAACCTACACATGTCTAAGTATTTGATTTTAAAATCTATTCAAATTTAGAATAAAATATTTAATTTAAACTGTATGCATATTATGATAAAAAATACACATTGTTTCATAAATTGGTTTGGATTTACAGAATTTATATTATTTAGGAATTTGTGCTTATGTGCACACATTTTCCTGTTATTATTTTAATAACTTAATGTTTGTATTTAACATTTCCAAAATATTAATATATTGCTAAGTTGAATGTTTGCCATGATTGAGATTTTACATTAGATTGCTTTTCATTTTCTTTTAATTTTTAATTTGATCATTTTCATGTAATTTAATTTGATATTAAGTTGTACCTTGTCATTTAATTCTAAATTATAGTGTGTGTTTAGAGCCAATATTGTTATTTTCAGATTCTGTCATAAATTAAAAACCACTAAAAATCAAATAAACTCTTATGAGCTAATGTAATAGTTGCAGCTCTTGTAATGTGGTTATAATATTTTATGAAAATATAGATATGCAAATATTCTATTATAAGAAAGTAACTTTGAATTTCTTGTACATGTTAACATTTTCTCACATTAAAATCAACCACTTGGCATTATGTGTATCTGTGGGTCCTATGAGAACTTTAATGTTTTCATTGGAATGATTGAATATGTTGCAGTGACCGTTTGGTCCTTTAGTAAAACTAAATAATAAACACAACTAAATCTTAAATTTCTTCTTTATTCTTTCTTTAAGAATTATCGCTAAAAATTCAGTAATTCTAAATAATCACTTTTTCCTAACTGATTCATGTTGCATTTCAAAGAACTTATATTTGAATGAAATATACAGGGATTTGTATCAAAACTGTTGCTAAATTAAATAATATAAATTTAGATATTTTTCATGTTTGGAAACTTAAAGCATGATTAGATAATGTGGTGTAACCATGTGTTTCTTGGTGAATGTCTTGTGGATATGCTTGTCTCCCTTGACCAGCTGTGCCTCATCAAAGTGGTGATGGTAGTATTAATAGTAAACTAGTTTCTACAGTTACCCATTTCATAACACTGTGTAGTTATTCATGGTGTCTTCATGCATGTCTATTCGAACATCCAATTGTTTAAATTCAATCTTATGAACATTCATTAAAGAAAGGTCAATTTGGCTTCTTTTGCTTGGAATTAATAAATATACTTGTTACATTATTGTTAATTAGGTGGACTCTGGTATTGAATATCTATGTCCTTTACTTTTATGCACATTTCCAGAATGATGTAACATATTAGCTCTTTAATTAATACAGGAAATCTCATCTCAGGAATTGTTTGGAATAACCTCAACTTTGTAACTTTATTACAGCCTGACTTTTATATTCTCAACTCCTTTTTCAGTACTACTTCCTCATCTCTTATCCAGTGATATTTTGACATCCTGACTTATATTCTGGAATTTACATATGAATTATAGTAAGACACTTGAGAAATGTCTCACTATTTTTTGTCATGACATGTAGAAATAACAAAGGAAGAAAATATTGGAA